TCCTTCATGTCTCTCAAAATATTAAGCTTACATATGCTATTGATAAGTTAGAAGAAAAGATACTTTATGTTTCATTATTTCTAGAACTCCAAAATCATTTTCACATGACAAATTTAAAATTTAGAGATAATAATATCAGCTTTTTATATTTGTCTCAATTTCTTCCCATAGGCAGTTGAGCGTCTTTCCTTTCATTCCATTGGTAGTAACGTTATTCCAGTATTTTCAAATTCATTGAATTCTATTACTAATTGATGTTGCTGGTGTTTTGATTTTTCTACTATCTTATTGTTGGTACTTCTTCTCTAACTTTTGCACAACTGCATTATTTTCTGTATATTGTTGTGATTATACATGCTTACTTTGAGTCGAGGGTCTATCGGAAACAGTTTCTACCTGCACAAGGTAGAGGTAAGATTGCATAATTAATGTCCTCATCAAACCTCACTCGTGTGATTATATTGGATTTGTTGTTATTGTTGTAAATTTCTACCCACATGCACAAATATGTGATGCAGGAAATTTATCGATATAAAACTTGCTACAACTTATAGGAAGATAAATTTATGTTATTGGTTTTGATTTGGTCACTAGATGCTATCACTTTTTTTGGGTTAAGAATAACAACTTTATGCATAAAATTTGCACTTTAACATAATTTAGAATCTCATGAGCAACATGCTCATGTGTGAATGTGCATGTGAATTGTGAAGTGTAAGTTCACATCTCGCCCACACATTTCCATTTTCCCCCAAGATTAAGATTAAAAAGTGGCTGATTATACTTAGCAATGAGAACCTAAAGTTGTACGGCAAAGCACTTGGTGATGGGTTAAATCAGTTATTTTGCTGTCTAATCGTCTAAATGATGTACCCTAACATGGGTTTTAATTTATTGCTTAAAGAATGTTAAATATATTGGATGAATGAAGAATATTCCTATCTTGTCTTATAAAATGGCTCCCATTTATTCATTTCTTGTGGGATATATCACTAGTAACACTACCCACCAAAGAATGGTATCATTGAGAGACTGCAAATGTATTAAACTTTATAATAAAATCTAGTGGGGTGAATAAGATCTTTTTATCAAAGCAAGGGATTATGAGTCTCAATTGATATGCTCATACACTCCGCAACAAAATGAGATTGTAGAATGAAAAAAGAAATATTTATTGAAAGTTATTAGGGCACCTTCCTTTGAGGTGAATCTTCTAAGTCTTTATGGTCTGAAGTAGATTATCTTTGGGAGCTAAGTCGAAGATCTCAGTGGTCTTGTAAATGATTGATAAACTGAGATTGCATTTTTCTTTAGGAAGTTCAATACCTGTGACGCTTAACAGGTAAAGAAAATGGTGGATACTTTTTCGGGTAGAAGGTGACAATCCTTAGCTCAAGTCCTCGGAGATATCCAAGGCAGTTGCTTGTGTCTTTTATACCTAACAGGTAGGGATGGCAATGGGGCAGGACGGAGCTGCGCAGAGCAGGGCAAGCCTTGACCTGCTCTACCCTGCACCATTTAGTATTTTTTCAGATTTTTGTCCTGTCCCGCCGGCCCAGCTAAGCCCTGCCCCCTGCCCTGTTTATGTTTTTTTTTAATTTTTTTTTCTTTATTTTTTATTTTCCAGTATTCTAAGAAATTTTTAAACTTTTTCAAATTTTTATTTGAACCTCATTTGAAATTTTTCTACACGTAAAAATTATACCATTTAATGATCATCGTTTCACTAGTAACAATATGAAGAGTTTAACAAGCAATCTAACCGGATCATACCGTTATAGTTATTATATTCAAAGCCAAATCCACAAAAAAAAATGATAACAGAAAGTAGAGATAGTGATACTGAATTATTCAATCAAAATGTCAAATGGATTAATAGAGCAACTTCCAGATATTTCAAAATAAAATTTGCCCTGCCCTGTCCTAACTCATTAAAATTTTAAAAAAATTTAGCCCTGCCTTCCCTTCCCCGCCCCATCTAAATCTTCCCCAGCCCCGCCTCATTTAGCGTTTGCCCTGCCCTGCCCCGTCCCGCCCTGCTCCAATTATCATTCCTACGGCAATATGCAAGAGTATACAAATTCGCCGGAGGCGAATAAAAGCTCCTCGAACCATCATTCTTTATTTTTGGGGTCAATTTATAATTATAAAAAATAGCTTATACCACTTATATTGTCGTGAATTGACATAAGAAGCTTGGGGATTGATGATTCTTGTATGTAAGAGATTTTTGTTTTGAGCGCCCGAAATGGAAAAAATCTACTGTACAAAGCACAAATGTGATATTATGAACTAATTGAATTAGTAAATTCCTGAGTACCAAATAGTTGTAACCCCTTTTTTTTTTACCACTATAGTGTACCTCGCAACTGTAGTTACGTGCCTAATCATCTGACTGAACGTAAAGGGTAAAACATATTCCTCTTTTCGGCAAGAAAAGGTCTCCCATTATCTCATTCCATTTTATCTGGAGTCTTTTAGAGTTATGGATTGAGTATGGATAAGTCAAAACTATTCGTCTCTTCTATTTTTCTTTTGAATTCTGACCGAGAATTTTTTGTAGCATTAGGTAAAATTTACTTCAATAGCATGTAATTTTTTTATAACAAGCTTGATATTATTATCTAGAAAATATAGTTAATTAAATTGTAATGATAGTTTAATAATTCTTTATAAAATGAATGTAAATAACTTAAAATGCAGCTTTATTCGTTCGTGTATTAATTTAGGACCAGTTAACTAGAAAGTAGAGACTTATAAATTTGGGATTCATCTAAAATTTCATTTTCACTAATTTTCAGTTTAAAGCTTTTAAACTATTGCAATGTCTGTTTCGCTAAATAACAACAAGCGAAATAACTCTTTCGTAATAGTTTGCACGCACCAACAGAAAATTGAAGATATACCTGCTTAATTTCATGTTCTTAAATTTTTCAAAATCTTTTGTTGTTGTTTTGGAACTGTCTTGAGAACCTTAAAAGAGAAGAAATATATCGGACTTTTCAAAAAAAGAAAAATATGAAAATACAATAGAACTTAAAAATAACAAGATAAACTTTTGTTATCAGAAAAATCTTTTAATAGAGAATGCTTTACCATTAAATTTATTCAACACGAATCTCTCTTGAGCATAAGTTTTATTGAAAATAATTTCTCTATTTTCTTAGACTAATGGCAAAGTCTGTATACACACTATCCTCTCAGAATCCACTTGTAAATTTCACTAAATTTTTTATTATTGTCACGAATCAACATGAATAGAATTAACAAATACTATATAAATAAAAAAAATTCTGGAAAAACCCATGAACAATCAGGTGATGCACCATTGTTGGTGTACCAACAATATGAGGGATCTAAGGTATTTTGGGGCTCAATATCTCAAACAAATCAGATTGTCTCTCTATTATTGAGGGACATCCTTGTTCTTAATCATTATTGTATAGAGATACATGCACAATAAAATCCACAGTCTCATTAATTAAAGAAACGTAGATAAAGATATCAGATTTGTTTTTATTTGTTGGTTTTGTCTTTTAGCTCAAGCAGTAAAAGCAAACAAAGTTCCCTTTGGACTAAAGTCTCAAACGTAATTTCCACAAACTTTGGCTGTCATTATTGATCAATTCCCGGCTACTTCTTTTTAGACGTGTTTGACCTACTAGTATTCTAATTCTTTGCCTTGACAGAAAAGTAAAAAAAAAAAAAACTTTATATTCCACACGTTTTTGCATTATTATTGTTTTGAGTCTTGTGAATTTCTAATGGGGTAGGGCATTTTGGTATTCAATTTGACTTCTTTTTCTCTTCCTTGGATATGTTGTGAACGAAAGACTATTTACTTCAAATACGGCACGTATAATTATCAACCACAATTATTATAATGATATCAAATTCATAATATCTAGAATTTCCCAAAAATGAATATTTATCAGCCTAACTTTAGAAAATTTGAAGGTACTGTTTAGGAGGTAGAGTACAGATGCTAACAAAATTGAGATTGTAAACTCATATTTTGGGTGCATTTGATATAGCCTGTTTCATGAAATATATTTGCTTTATAAAATTATTTGCTAAATCATTTTCTGAAGGATAATATTTTGGTGCTGGTTCTGAGCATTGTAGGTCATCAACAAAGTTATTGTACTAGTCGAAACAAGTGATATGAATTACTTATGAATTAAAATATTTTAAAACAAGTTACTTGCGCCTAATATTCAATCAAGTCATTTCTCCCATTTTGCGTAACATTTTGGCAATATACCAAGCACATTCCTCTGGTCTGTTTTAGTTTTATTACCTCAAGTAATTTTTTTTAAATAAATAAGTTTTATAATCACAACAATTTTTTGACCATTGTGTGAAAGTACCTGTTAAAACTAATCCACACATTCCACAAATAAATATAATTATTACAGAATTAATATTTAATAATCTTACTTAAACAACCTGATTACATTTCATAATCCAAATCAAACATCTATAGATTTGGTTAATAAACACATTATTGAAAAAGCCCCATAGGACAACTCAATGTCCAATAGATCACAAATTCAAATCAGTGTCATATATTAGAATCAGCTAATTATGGGAAAAAATTTAATACTAGTAGACTTTATTTAGAATAACAATAATATATTCATTGTAATCCTATAAGTGAGGTCTGAAAATTTATTTAATAAAAGTTTTAAAATAAATTAAAATGTCTAGATTTAATGCAAAAATGGTAATACTAATTTTTCCAACATGTGTCTCCATCAGATGGAATAAATATTAAAGTACATTATCTAAATCTACAAAAATCTTTTATATTACCCAAAAATGAAGCCACCTACCTCACATAATTACCACATTGCCACCTCAGCTATACCAAGTTGTTTCCTTTCTTATCTCTACCTTAAACCTAAATCTTTTTATATTGTCGTGTCCATCTTCCTTTCTCTCTCCATAACTCCATTTCTTCCTCAAAACTAGGGCTGTATTTTGTCCCGGGCCCGGGNAAACTTTCTCTCACTATATCTATATCTGTATCCACATAACTTCGATTGCAGCAAAAAAACAAAAACAAAAACACTTCAATCATATACTATCACCCAAGAATTATCTCTTTTTCTTGTTGTTCTTTTCTTGGATCATGTAAAAAAGGACGCATTCGGATTTGGATCTTGTTTTGAGGATTTGATTGGATCGGGTTATATCTGGTTTTTGATTGGAATTCGGGTTTTTTCAGCCATGACCCGTCGGTGTTCACATTGCAGTACTAATGGACATAACTCAAGGACTTGTCCAAATAGAGGTGTGAAGTTATTTGGGGTCCGATTGACTGATGGGTTGATCCGAAAAAGTGCTAGTATGGGTAACTTGACCCATTTTGCTAGTAGCAGTGGTCCATTAAACGGTGCCGTTCATGACTCACCTGGTGATACACCTGATCACCCTGCTGTTGGTGGTTCTGCTGATGGTTATGCTTCTGAAGACTTTGTTGCTGGTTCTTCCTCTAGCCGTGAAAGGAAAAAAGGTTTGATTTTTTTTTTCATTTTTGAGAAATTCTCTTTTTGGGTCTTAGGAATTGTGTGTGTGTTTTTTTTTTTTTTTAGAAGGTAAAGGTTTAGGAATTGTGTTTTCTTTTTTTGGTTCTTGGTTGTGTTAAGTGTATACAAAATCTGAGATTTATGAATTATCAATTGTGATTAAAGTTTCCAAATTTAAGGAATAAGGTGAGATATTTGGTATTTTATCTAAACCAGCTGCAACTTTTGTTACTATTTGTTGTTGTAAGTGAATGTGCAGAAAAGAGATATTACTATGAACATGTGTTTCAAGTTGATAATTTTGATGTGTAAGAGAAAAACAAAAGATATTGGGAGCTTTCAGTTTGGCAAAGGTTAATGGTTTTCTCTATCCAATTTGCTGTCATACTTTTTTTACAATCAAAATGGAATGTGTAGACAAGGATGTATGTTTATTCTGCTTCTTTTTTTTCCGGATCACTTCATTGGCACGGAAATTTAGTGCAAACCTTTGCCAGCTTTATGATTTGGGATTTTCTTGGTTCCTTTTTTGCGAATCAAGTTATTTGTGTATCATATTCCTCTTTTTACTCAGTGACCAGACATAGCATAAGCATGACTGATCGAATTGTCACTTAATGCTTAACGTCAACTTTTGTATGAGTTTCTTGAAACTTTAATTTACTGTCAGCTGCTGTTGTTTCAATGAAATCTTGAAACTCTTCATCCTTTACAGATGCACTTCTCATTGTGGCAATAGTTGATTTTCAAATTAATGGAATTTCTCTCTTCTTTATGGTGATTATGTTTTTTCAGAAGTGCCGGAGTTGAGAAAACTGCTCATATTGCTACTCAGGGATTTATATTGCAATAGGTTTTCTTGCTGGGTTGGTTCTTGAAATAACTTAAAACTTAATTGCAGGGGTTCCCTGGACTGAGGAGGAGCATAGGATGTTTCTACTTGGTTTGCAAAAACTCGGTAAAGGTGATTGGCGTGGAATTGCTCGTAACTATGTAATTTCTAGAACGCCAACGCAGGTAGCAAGCCACGCCCAGAAATATTTCATTAGGCAAAGTAATATGTCAAGGAGAAAAAGACGCTCTAGCCTGTTTGATATTGTTGCTGATGAGGTAAGTGAAATCTCACTTATAGATGATTTTAATGTGTCCCTCATTAAGTTATATAAACCTAATTATCACTATGAAATTGTAAACTTGTTATCTTTGATAAAAGATGACGTCTTTCGTTCTACTCTTATTCTCGTTGATCTAGGACGGAATAATGATTCTCTATTATCATCGTTATCTTGCAAACTTCATCACCTAGATGTCTAGTGCTGTTCCGTATTGCTATCATCTGTTATGTCAAAGATGCACATGCCTATAGGCTATAATAACATCATACCTTTTGATTGAACTTGTAATGTTTTTTGGCACTTGGACACTTTCTTACCTCATCTTGGATTTTGAATGTAATCTACAATCTTTTTTCCGCACTTGGTTTCAATGTATTAACTTTTAATGTTTGTTCTTTTTTTCTTTTTCTTTTATGTTAATTACCATAGTCGGGGGACACTCCAATGGTATCAAGGGATTTCCTCGCAGATGATCCTCTACAAGCCGAGATACAAAGCAACAATCCATTGCCTCCTACTCCTTCTGTGGATGAAGAATGTGAATCAATGGGTTCAGCAGCTTCTGCCAACTCCAACGATGGGGAACTTTCTCTTCCTAAACCAGAAAGTTCACAATATCCTCGTCCACTAGTATATCCTGCTTATGTCGCCCCATTTTTCCCGATGCCTTATCCATGTTGGCCAGGTTATACTGCAGAGCTGGCAAAAGCAGAGACCCATGAAGTTCTTAAGCCAACAGCTGTTCATTCAAAGAGTCCAATTAATGTTGATGAGCTGGTTGGTATGTCAAAGCTAAGTTTAGGTGAATCCATTGGTGATGCCAAGCCATCTTCTCTCTCACTGAAACTGGTCGAGGGCTCCTCCAGGCAGTCGGCTTTCCATGCTAATCCTTCATCTGGTAGCTCAGGCATGAACTCTAGCCACAGTCCAATCCATGCAGTTTAGTGGGGTGCATTCACATGATATGTTTCCTGTTAATATATGATAATGTTATGTAGTTTTGTTGGGTTGGGTTAGTTATAGTTCTATTTGTTGGGCCGATCTTAATAAGATTTGTTTAGGGGTTAACGTCTTAGTTGGCAGTACTCTCGTAGCTTGTAGGCACTCTTGTTTTGAAGTATTCAAGTTGTTGACATTTTGACTTTGGTCAAAAGATTTCGTTCTCCTGCTTTGTTTTCTTTTAATTTTTTGTTTAGATTGTCGCGACTGTGACTAATTGATGTAGTGAAGTCCTTTTTTTTTTTAATTGGAGGAGGTGCAACTATGCTAAAGAATGCTTAGCTCTTCAGCTCAGATTTAAAGAAACAGGGATTCTTGTTCTCCGCCTGTTATCGTAAACTTGGCAGTGCATATAAAAGTTTGTGGAGATGTGAAACTGTAGTTCTGTGGATGACTTATATAAGTTATGCGCAAGTATATTTAGCTAAATAATAGTATCAACTTGTCGAGAGTATGTCCATTACCTAATGAAGATAGTTTAAAAGAACAGCAGGACTCTGAAGAGGACGTCCCTCTCTGACCTTTTATATCTTGATAAGATGCTTTGGAGTCTTCTTGGATCTGAATATTGGAATCGTATCTTAATCTGTTCTGCTATCGAAGTTCTGTTCTGGGTTGTTGATAAGTTCGTGTGGAGAAAGCAAAGGATGAGTTAAAGATATTGGTTTTCTGTCTTTTCCTTGTAGGTCTGACTCATGAAGGAACTGAGCAACGATAAATCGATGCAGCCAGTGCCATATTATGCATGCAATTCGAGCCATGCACCAGCTGGAGTGCAAATAGCAGATTGAGTGATAGATATGCTACCTGTCATTGAGCTAAGTATCGGCATACTGCTCTGCAGAAAGTTGGCCTGGTTGGAGATGTTATGTTGATACATAGACAAGTACCAATTTACATGAGAAATCTTGGAATAGTGAGGGATATGTTTGTTGGGTACATTGTAAGTGGAGATTTAGCTTTCCTTTGCTGCTTGACTTTGCAGAAATCCCACTAGTGTTTAGGAACATGAATACCAGGAGGGAAAATCTAGCAGTGATTTGGGTGAACTGGAGGGACCGCATTGAAGATACTGACAAATTGGTAATAGAAAGCCATCTTCTTGTAGTATCTGCCACTGAAGTGAAATCATCTAAACTGAGAAGAAACACATAAGATGTTGTATGATTCAGTAGAAGGTGAATGACTGAATGTGGCCATTAGTGTAGACTACACACGCAAACACACGCATGTAGGTAAATGTGTGTGTTGAGGTTTCCCGGTGGAGGGCAAATGACTCAACAACTGAGCGTTAGAAATGTGTGTGCACTTAGAAAATACTCGTTATATGTGCTGGTGATCGTAGCAGGTACGCGATGAAATAGTCAAGTTGAGTACCCTCTAAGAATATCAAAAGCTTTTCCGTGTTCTACTTGTTCCCCGGGGATCTATTTACCTTAGTGCGACTCGAATCACGATCCATGGATTGGTAGATGGACGCTTAATACTAGGTTATCATCATTTATTTTCTTAAATTGTTGCCTATATTGTTTGCTTTTAGAGAAGTCACTTATAGTCTAGATAAGTTCCAGTAAAATTTGAGCAAATATATAATTTATTCCCACCCCTTGTTCTATCGTCTACATCTAATGCTTCCTCATCTATCGAGGTACTATGCAAATATCTGTAGGCGATCCAGGATCTAATGGTGGCGGGGACACATGAGTGAACAACTCAATCAGTGCCCCTATCTGACTTTTGAGCTTAAGAGTTTTAAGTAAAATATATGATCCTTTTCAATATATATATATATACCTATATATCTAAAAATTTTGTCCAAGTTAAAGGGTTGGATGACCCTTCTACTCCGAAAATAGATCTGCCCGTTTTCAAAGATAAGAATCCATATTAAAGTACCATCTAGGATAATCCATATTAAAGTACCATCGAGGAATCTTTTTATTTTTCTCTTTGATATTACATGAATTATGATTCAATTTCATTCATTAATTCAGTTTGATTTCCATGACCATAATGTGATTTAGGCGTTAAAATAGCATAGGCTGGTCAATTTTCGGCCTGGTCATTAAAAAATAGTCGGCGTTTGCCAAGTCATTAAAAAATAGCCACTATTTTGCTGCAACAGAGACCGGTCCAGCATAATATACTCGAGTTCGGTGCACCTGTGTATGGACTTCCATCATATTATGCTGGATCGGTATACTTTGCTGGCTCTAGTATAATATACTGGAGTTCCAGTATACTTTACTGGAGTTCCAGTATACTTTGCTGGAACTCCAGTACAAACTCCAGTATATTTCAGTATATTATACTGGAATTCCAGTATATTATGTTGGAGTATTTTCCGGATTTTGAACAGTGTTTTCGTTTAGATTTATCTTTACATAAAAAGTGGATAAATTTCGATGACTTTTGAAACTGTGGTTATTTTTGAATGACCACTTGTAAATCTGATTATTTTTGAATTCCTCCCGATTTAAGCCGGCTAAGTCTCAATAATGGGGTAGAAATATGCTAGCCCAACACCCAACTAGTGGACTGTGTTGGACTGATTTCATGGGTCAAGCTTTAACATCAAAATAGTATGGGCTAGTCAGTTTTTGAATTTGTAATTGAAAATAGCAGATATTTACAAATTTATTGAAAAATAGCCATTATTTAATGCGGAGATAAAATCTATACAAAAAAAGTCTAGCTGAAACATGGACAATTCTAGCATAATATGTTAGATTGTGGAGCTCTTGCGTATAAACTTCTAGCATATTATGTTAGAACTCTTTACATTATGCTGAAATCACGTATGTAAAAAATTCGAACTCCAGCATAGCATGTTGGAATTTTTTCAGATTTTAATGGTGTTTTTGTTCAGATTTTATTTTTACAAGAAAAAGTAGCTAAATTTCAATTACTTTTGAAACAATAGTTGATGTTCAATTAGCATATATTTGTTTTTTGCCCTATTTTAACGGCTCTAACCTTTGCATTGGTATGTTAATATGTTCTTCATTTTGCAATATGTGCGATTTCATTTAAGGATGTGGGATTGGCAGGTAGATAGCTCCGGCGCCAGTAACATACTGCTACTACATTCATTAGAACGTCTCTACTCTTTCGAAGAGAGATTCCATATATTGTCAATGATCGCATATGTCACTCAAGGTTTCTCTAAATTTTCTCTGTTTAGATTTCTCGTTGTCACATTTTCAGGCATGTAATATGTGAAAAATTAATATTCCTTAAGTATCTATTACATTTTATTTTCGCTAACATGGATTACAATACACATTCACTTTCATAATTTTAAAAAAATCACAAAGGACCAAAGCAAGATGAGTATAGCTGGCATTACAAAAACTACAAACTCCAAGTACGACCAAAATTAAAGAAGAAAAAGGATGCGACAATTCACGTCAATACCAACGCTGAAAACTTAAAGTCAGTACATTTATATAACGGAATAGCGTATTCAGGATTTGAGGAAAATGGATGCACTGAGAAGTGGATCATAATTTATCTTGACAAATGACGGTTCAGCCTTTAGGTTCCTATTATAAATTACACTTTTGAAACTATTGCTTCAAATTAATTTTTTTTATATTTGCAAGCTATATTTAGAGATTCGATTTAATTATACAAATTTAAAGGTGGAAATAGAAGGCAAATATGAGTTCCAATGTGTCGGACTTGAGGATTTTGAAAGAGTAAATCACAAAAAAAAAAAAAAAAAAAATT